CTTCATGGCATGGTTGCTCCAAAAAGACACATCAGAGTACTAAATGCAACTTCCCTGAGTGACTGCACCCCTGATCCTTCTCTCAAAATGCCTGAGATCAGATGCTGTGAGATAATGAATACCTATCTCCAAGTCTCAAGTTCATAGTTTTTGTTCTTTTTTTGTTTTTTTGCCAGTGCTGAGACTTGAACTCAGGGCCTGGGCACTGTTCCAAGCTTCTTTTGCTCAAGGCTAGCACTCTATCACTTGAGCCACAGTGCCATTTCTGGCTATTTCTGTTTACGTGGTGCTAAGGAATCAAACCCAAGTCTTCATGCATGCTAGGCAAGCACTCTACCACTAAGCCACCTTCTCAGCCCTCGAGTTCAGTTTTAAGGTATAGAAGAATTTGATAAAATTATTCATAATATGGGGAATCAAAACATTATTCTGAGTTAACTTGAGATATTCCTAGTTAGAGTTAGAAATATGGGGCAACTTTGTAGATACTGGCACTTGAAGACTCTTGAAGACCATGGGGCCCTCATTAACAAGGGGCTATCTCTAGGGCTATGCCCCTTACCTGTTAGGAGTTTGCTGAATGAAGGAAGCAGTGGAAAGTCAGGCTGGAGGGCTGTCTGGCCCAAGCCCAAGTATGGATTCTAAGATCTCTATTCTGTCTTTATCTTTGCATGCCTTGAGTTCAAGGGCTTTCCACATGCTATTTCAATGCATGTGTCAGTTTTATGAAGGGAATACTCCATTGCACATCCCATTGTGAATGAGAAAATTTGACTCAGAGGGAAGATTATCTGGAGGTTAATTCTAGTTTTCTTCTATATTTGTTATTTAGAGGGAGTATTAAAAAATGCTTAATGCCTTTTACATGGTGGTTGATTCAGTACCCTCAACAATGTAACCCACTATAAGTAGCCCTTGCACACTTGAGGAAACAGGCTCAGGGATGAGTGAGTTGTCCCAGGTCACATAAGAAGCGGAGAAACTAAGGTCTGACAGGTCTCTGGCTTTCTTACCAATAATGCAGCGTCAGCTTGAGGAGATGCCTAGCGACTCAGCAACACTGAAATCCTGAGAGTTGTTTGCTGCAATGCCTGAAAATGGAAATCACACACACACACACACACACACACACACACACCTCTAATGCATGTGTTTAAGGTTACAGCATTTCTGTGTAGTAGCAAACTGCCATACATGCTGAGTGCTTCTAAACCCCCTGCGGGTAATGTCATCTGGATAACTGGCCTTGCCCTTGGGAATGGAACAAGTTCACCACTTAAGATTACATTGTTGGGCTGGGAAGGTGGCTCAGTGGTAGACTGCTTGCCTCGCATGCATGAGACCCTGGATTCAATTTCTTAGCACCACATAAATAGAAAAAGCGGGAAGTGGCACTGTGGCTCAAGTGGTAGAGTGCTGGTCTTGAGCTGAAAAGCACAGAGACAGCACCCAGGCTGAGTTCAAGCCCCATGACCAACAGAAAAAAAAAATTACATTGTCCTTTAAGACAGACATCCACTGTGAAATATGAAAGCTCCATGTCTCCCACAGGAATGACAGAACTGGGGCATCCAGGGATCAGGGCTAAGTTAGAACTGATTCCCAGAAAGGCTGTAGCCACAAGCCAATCACATTAGTTTGGAATGGGGCAGCCACTGGTTTCAACTATTGGTTTTCTCTGGGTACCTGTCCCTAGAACCCTCGCTTAGCATTCCATGGTTGACATCAATTTTCAGACGTGCCAGAGCTTACCACTCAGGAACTCTTGTTGCTGCCTAGTACTCATCTCAGCAAACCCAGACTCTAACCAACTAAGATTCAACATTTGACCAAAGAAATTCCTATGGCAACTGAAATGCACTCATTTTTTTGCATGGTGGTCAGTCTCCTCAACATACTTTGTAGTTTCTCAGACTGCTGCTGGCCCTTCCCACTAGGAGACAAAGTAACACCACACAGACTCTTACTTTCCCAGCAGAAATAGGACCAAGGTAGACTTCAAGAGGTCTCTTTTGCATCTTTATGTCCAGTGTCCAAAGGCTACAATTCCTATCAATCCACCAGCAATCTGTTTAGAATTTTTAAAAGCATAGAAATGGCATCCAGTTTAAAAAGCAATAGGCTTGAGCCAGATCCTAAGTTGAATCTCAGCTCCAACAACTTAGTGCAATCTCAACACATCTATAAATTGGAGCTAGAATCTCCCTCTGAATAGCTGGGTACGACAGCTCATACCTATGGTCCCAGTACTCCAGACTGAAGTAGGGGAATGTTAGGTTCAAAGTTAGCCTGGACTACATAGTGAAACTGTTTGTTTAACTCACTCTCACAAATCCCCAAAGAAAAATCTTCCTCAGAGGTTTGTTTTGGACATCAGATAAAGCTCACAATTGAGGTAACACACTTTTTTCTCCTCATTGACCCTTTAAGAAAGGGAAGATTATGAAGCCATGAAGCAAACAAGCACAATTCCAGATCTAAATGTGGCTCCAACCGGGGTCCATGAGATCTTTGTGCCATTTTGTTTTGTTTTAGGTGGTTTTCAGCTGGTTGTTTCTGATAACGAATAGAGACAGTATAAGTGTTGAACCCATAGTTACTACTGCAAATCATTGCACTCACAATTTACTGATATATGTTTCATTATGGATGTTACTAGTGTAAGGAAATACTTGTGTCCACATGAATGGCTTCTGGTTATAAATGAATCCAATTCACAAGTTGTATGGACATTTTTACAGCAAATACAAATGAAAGCTTAAGATAGAAGGCAGACTCTTTCATTTCTCTATGTAAGTCTCCCATTAAACAAATGCCTCCTTGACTGAAGAAAAAATAACTATAACATTCCACTGAAGCTAGGAAGTAAAGCAACCTTTGTTTATTATTTTTTGAAAGGCACACACGGCTGCTTTGCACGGATTATAATGTTTTAAAGGAAATAAAATAGCATTCAACATTTCTAACCCATACATAAATAATACTGTTTTACTTAGTCTGCTAACTAAAGGTAAAGTTGGAAATAAAAAAAAAAACTGGAATAATGCCTTAAAAAAGACTGGGTGAGGACTTAAATGTATCAGACTCAGATATGGTATTTGACAAATGGAAAAAAAAGACTATACCAATGAACTTAGTAAAGAATGCTATTTAAAGGTTTATTCCATAAATTTTACATGTTTGGCTTGACAGACCAAAGCCTTTTTCAAGTCCTTAATTATGAGAATAACAGCAAAAACTTAAGACAGTTAAAAAATGCTATGTGCCGGTGCTGGTGGCTCATGCCTATAATCCTAGCTATTCAGGAGGCTGAGGTCTGAGGATTGCCATTCAAAGCCAATGGGAGCAGACAAAGCCCTTGGGACTCTTATCTCTAATTAAACACCAAAAGGCCACCAAAAAGGCTTTGTCTCCTAATGCGAAGGGCCAACAGCAGTCTGAGAAACTGCAAAGTACGTTGAGGGGACCTTATGGTACTGGTCAGCTCTTACCACCATGCAAAAATGAGTGCATTTCAGTTGCCATAGGAATTGCTTTGATGAATTCCACAGATCTGGAATTATGCCTACTTGCTTCTTGGGCTTCATAACCTTCCCTTTCTTAAAGTGTCAATGAGGAGAAAAAAGGAAAGTGTGTTACTTCAATTGTGAACTTTATGTGATGTGCACATGCACACATGCGTGCACATACAAACACACACTGCTGTATTCTAATGAATAAATGTAAGACAATCATCTCAAGGAAGTCTAGGAAAATTCCATCTGCTACCCTATTCTAGCCAATGTGGATTGGCTCAATTCACTTTCAAATGTAATCCCCAACTCTGGGTGTGAGTGGTACCTACAGATACAACAGCTTTTCAGGCTGGAAAGCTGTTCTATCTGTACATCTGCATGGCTGAAAAACCAGTCTTGCAGCATTACATCTTCAGCACACAAAACAACTTTGTGTCATTAGAATAGTAAAGCCAGACTCTACTGTACATGCTTTTATGCTATAAACACACCATGCAGCAGAAACACAAATTCTAGAAATGAAGACAAGCGATGGCTTGAAGGGCATGACAGTTTATTTAAAAAAATTGTACCACACTGATCCGATGACCAGTATACATATGATAATGGCTTTTCTCTTGGGTATTAACATTGCAGTATTTCTGTATACTGAAATGTTTCAATAGGACCAAGAACGTTAGAGAATAAGGATCTTAGATGAAAATGGACACTAACAACTCTGGTGTTCTATCCCATGGAATTAATTCCCATCAGTGGTATTATGTTATCTAGTATGGAGAGCACAAGTTCTCTTAGAAATAGGCAGCATGAACTTAAGACTTCTTTGTACTATAAGCTTTAGTTTTTATAATTTTACCTCTGTCCATCCTGTACAAGACACCTCAGATAATTTCCATGCTACCATTGCACAAGTTTAGTGATTTTACTTAAAATTAAAAAAGAAATCAAACCATCATCAAAATGAAGAGGCAAATAAATGTGACTTTCAACTCATTTGAAAAGCATAGTGCTTCTTCTTCCAATACAGATCTAGACTTAAATTAAATGCTATAATTATAACTTCCAAAAACTTCTGTGATAAAATTAATATTTAATACATATGGGTTTATAAAACTGTACTTTGTAATCAACAAGAGAAAGTTACTTTTTAGAGAACGAAGTATTCAGTGACAGTTCCACGTGTCTGTAGCAAAGACAAAGCCACATGATATTACATCTGGCTCTAAGAATTCTAAGGTACAAAATTTTTACCAAAGATCAAAATTAGGATACTCTGATCGTAAAAAATTCAACCCAGGCTGGGTGCTGGTGGCTCATACCTGTACTCCTAGCTACTCAGGAAGGCTAAGTTCTTAGGCTCATGATTGAAAGCCAGTGGGGGCAGAAAAGTCTGTGAGACTCTTATCTCCAATCAACAATTAAAAAGCCAGAAGTGGAGCTGTGGCTCAAGTGTAGAGAGCAAAAAAGCTAAGGGACAGCACCCAGGCCCTGAGTTCAAGCCCTAATACTGGCTCAAAACAACAACAACAACAAAACAAAACAAAACAAAAAACACCCAACTCATAGGAGATAACTTTTTAGAGAGTAAATGTGCTGTTGAGTATTAATTATTCCACTAACCTTTTCTTCTTAAGACCTACAAGCTGACCTTTTCCTGTAATAATTGTGACTCATCACAATTTCAAACTGACCTCCACTTCCGCGTTACCATTCCAGTACTCAGGGATTTTTGAGGCAGCAGAAGTTCTATTTCATGAAAACAGTAGCTACTTTAACCTTTCAGTGACGGATTTTTAAATCTATAAACTCAAGAATCACATTATTTAACCCAGCAACTATAAAAACATGATCTTGGCATTTTCAGCCAGAATCTCTTTGTGCTTTTTAAATTAAGCTGCTTTTGAACCTATTTGGTATTTATCATCCATGCGTACTTCCCTTGTAATAATAAAAGAATATTTTAATCATTTTTAAGGTTAAATGTTCAGGGGTGGGGGCTTTACCAATACTTTTCCTTTTTCTAAAATACAGTATAAATCAATATTATTTTTCCTTCAGTATTGGAATAGTAGAAATTATTTCTGGTCCCTCCTTAAATCAACTGACACCACTTTTCATCACGAATAACACTGAAATTTACAGACATCCCTGAAAAGTTTCTGATTAAGTAAACGAATGAATCACAGTGGAGTCTCCATCAATTAACAGTGTAGATCTATTAAAAAACTGATTATTAAAATCTTCAAGCTATAAAACAAAAACAAAAAACCAGGAAACTCTTTCAAGAACTAAAATGGAGTGTGTTGTCACTGCTTCTGGACTGGTATCCCCTGACTCCTCAGACTTTTCCTCCTCCATTTTCTAAGACATGTTTGCAGCAATCCTCATGCCCAGGTGTCATGCTTACTGTGGCCTGTGGGAGATGACAGTACATTTACTGTCTCTTCCCTAATAGATTTCATATCCCAAGATGGGCATGCGTCTCACTCCTCTGCATTCCATTCACCAGCATCTTATCAGGAGACAGTATTTGCTGTGCAAGTTGATGACAGCTGACCCTTCTACTCTGCTTACCCCTTCTCTCAGACAATATGAGGTTATCACCAGCTTGTCATCCTATGCACTGGCCTTTCACTCTTTCAATCAGAAAAGTTGTGTCTTACTTTAAAAAAAAAAGGGAAGGTGGGGGGGGGGAGGGGATGAAAAACCAAGAGTCTAAAGGCACAAAGTCGCATAGCTGCTCTAGTTGGAGTTTGTAAACAGAGAATAGGTTGAATTTAGGTAATCCCAATCAATGAGAATAAAAAGGCATCCACTGCAGGCTTTTGTCCAGCCAGCTTCTTTGAGACCCTTCATGGGTTTTGAGGTCTACAAAGTATGCACTAAAATACCCATACTTCAAAAAGCAATAAGGCAAATAGTATAATCATTATTCCAAAAGTTACAATGGTAGTGTAGGCATACATAGTATAATTTAGTTACAATGTGTGGTACTGTTTCTATTATATAACCATATTAACCGTTTCTCTCCTACATAATTATAGATTCAGCTGGGTTTCAGTTGAACACAAAACCATCCTTGTACCACCACTGGTAGTTGGCAATAGCTCTTTGATAGCAGTTTTTATTCTGTTGGAGAAATTATCCTTGAGCTGAAAAATAAAAAGTCTACAATTCAAAGTCCAGCCATTAAACACTATCATATTTGTGAAGAGCTTCTTCCAACTTCTGGGTCACTTTTTGGAAAAATATTATTTGTTGTTGTAAGAAATGCTGCATCTGTGATTTAAAGTCTCTTACTCTAATTTGATGGAAATGGTGGATTTCAGCCAATGTGGCAAAAGAAATAGTGTTACAGCGGTCTTGAATGCCGTCAGCCTTTTGGACTTCCATCTTCCCTTCTTCCACGTGGCGCCTACTCTCCTTGACTTTGGTGAGAGCTCCTGTAGTTAAAAATAAAGTCATTAGTTTAAATAAATAAATACACACACACATATCTCGATGATATGCTTACATATTACAGACTCTTGGGTATTGTTAATACTAACCTGACCTATTTCAAAGCGGTATTTCAAATGGTAACTGGAACCTCTCACTTAAAAGCTGAGAGCTTTCCCATTGCTACACTTTCACTGAATCAAGAAACTAGTGTTTGGCATATTAGTCAATTATCTGTAGTATTTTTGACATGCTACAGTTAACAGATATTAAAATCCAATGAACTGTTCTTAAAAGACAATCCAAAGCTGGGCACTGGTAGCCCATGCCTGTTATTCTAGCTAAGTGGGAGGATGTATTGGGAGGACTGTGGTTCCAGGCCAGTCTTCTCAAAAAAGTCTGTGAGACTCCATCTCAACAGAAGAAGCTGGATATGGGTGGCGCAAATGTGCCATCCAGCTGTAGCAGGAAGCAAAACATTAGGAGATTTATGGTCTAGGAACATGCCCAGATAGGAAGTGAAGAGAAATCCTATCTCAATAATAACCAGTGTAAAAAAGGGCTGTAGGTGGAGTTCAGTGGCAGAGCTTCTGCCTATCAAGTTCAAAACCTTGAATTCAAACCTCAATACTTCAAAGAAAAAGACAAACCAATAAACTGAATTTCCACATGCTTTAAAAGGGCCTAAGACCTTTATATCCACACATATGAGGAAATTATGTATAAAACAATACTTCATAAAGACTTTAAATCCCCTTCTCACTAAAATATTAATGTACAGGACTTGTGAACCAATCTCCAAGACATATTAGAAGCACCTTGGGCTGGCAGTGGGCATGTCACATTTTATGGAGGGGGCTGGTAATGCTGCCCCCCACATCAGAGCACACACATGCCCAGGTCTGATTCATCTACAGAACATGCCTAGCTGAATAAAATGTCTGGGGATGGGGTGCACTCTGCACACAAAACCTGCCTGACCCCACCACTGGGCGCCAGGGCCTTTTTACTTTTTTAAGGGAATTGGTGAGCTTTAAGTCTCCCTAAGGAGAATGACAACACAGACGACAGCTTATTGTCAAGACATATTACCAGAGGGGGTTGCAGGGGTGAGAATCGGGGACCAATCACTTTAGTGGTGTCAGAGAAGGGTGGACCCTCTCCCCCACCCCACCCCCCGCTGTGAAGACACCAAAGGCTGAGATGTTTAGCAGTAGGACATACGGGATACCCGTATGTCCTCAAGAATGTGGAATGACAAAGCTAAAATCATTGGAACACAGCCAGCTGAAGAATTCAGATTTCCTAGTCTCTACTCTGCTAGAGCATGTTGAAGGGCAGGAGAACACAAAGCCAGGCTGCCAGGAGCCCTGGACTGGCAACGCAGACTCCTGAGGGAAAGGGTAGCCTGGGTAGAGGCAATGAAGCAACCAAGTTCTTCAGAGATGCTGCTTCAACCTGAGGGATGAAAATCGTCTGTGTCTAATTTCCTCAGCAATCCTGCAATACAGTACAGAATAAGCTAGCATTAAAGCATAACCTTTAGAGTTAAATCTTACGGAGTTAAATGTGCTTTAAAATTATGTTTTATTGATTCTACTTTTGGTGGTGCTGGGAAAAGAACCAGGCAGGACCTTGCCCATGCTAGGTAAGTGCCCTACCACTGAGCCACATCCCCAGCCAGTGCACTTTTATTTTATTTCTTTTGCACAAAGACCTGAGAATACAAAAGAACTTATGATACATAATATATGTATGCGAAACAACATACCACCCCCCATGTTTGTCTGCATCTATTGATTTTAAATTAGATCTTTATGTGAAAAGGAACAAAGCCCTGGAGCAGACACAACACACTGGCACAGCCATGCTCACAGCATGCTCCCACTGCCACCAGGACCCACTCAGTGAGCATGGCTTCGAGAAGACCCCTGCCCTCACCGCTCAGAGCCTGGCACTCTGCAAGAGTAGCACTTGCCCCATTTCTTCCACCATTCACAGTACCAATCAAGCATGAAAAACCTCTCCATACCAAAAAGAAAATGAAAACATTACTTCTTGTGAACCCACTGTCTTTGTTTATATTTGTACAGGTTTTACATTCTAGACGCTGAAAAGACCAAGAACATTAGAAGAGGTAAGACTCAAGAAAAAAAAATCGAAAAGGCAATTGAAAATAGGAAATTATGACACTGAGGTGGGAGAATAAGACCAAAGCAGAACGAAGTCTCAGGTAATGTGACAGGTTCTTCATGTGATTTCAATCCACGGTACCTGAGGAAGCCACAGTCAGGGTTCAAGCACACATATCCCACCCTGCTCAGATGCCAATGATGCTGTAGGTCAGCTGTAGCTGATCTGTGACAGTCTGGAAGCATGGCTTGCTCTAGTTAGTAGAGCCGGCATTCCTCCATTAGTCTCCATCAGAAGTTCAATCTGGAGAACAGGGAAAAGCTGACCCCCTTCCCAGAGCTATGAATGAATGGCTGCTAAGTTGAACTTGTCCAATTCCAAATTAGATCACCACATTCTCTCAAGCTGCATTATACACAACTATAATGTGTATCTACAGCAACTGCTTTAAAAATAAACAAGTCTGAGATTTTTGCAACTTACCATATGGGCAAACATATTCAAAGCTCTTGGACAGAGCAGTTAAGTATTCAAATCTCTGAAGTCCAGGGACCTTTTGGCATTTAAAACTTTTAAGCCTTCTGCATATCCATAAGAAGCCAAAGAACAATTTAAGACTTAAGTTTTCTTTAAGTATGAATCTGTTAGAAAAATAGCAGGGTGTTGCTGTTTTTAAAGCATCCAAAAGGTTGGGCTCTGGATCAAGAAACTGAATTCATTGAAGGACCAGTGAGAGCATGCTGGCAGAACAGAGAATCAAACACTGGTGTTTTTGTTCCTACCTAAGTGAGCTCAAGAGGAAGCTACAGGACAGGTACACTTAGGACAGACAGACAGGCATACTACCTGGACACAGCCAAATAGCACTACAAAGCACATAATTCCATTCCACATAATTCCATTCCCCCATGTGGAATGCTTTGAGCTTCCCCAAAGCATCATGAATTGTATTAAGTCAGAAAATGCTCAGAGGGCCTGCTCTCTGTCAAGCACTGTGCTAAGGATGGGGGGATGGGGGGACAGCGTTCATGAAGAGTATTATCCAAGACAATAAATGGCAGCTGCCAAAAATAACCCTCATTACAATGTACAACAGACAGCACTTTGTGTGTAAAGAAACTGAGTTACTCAGCATCTTTTGTCTGAAAGTCACTCAGGTAACCCGCTAATAGGCTGAGATGGAATCTCAACGTGTAACTGACTTCAGAGCAAATATTCAAACATGCAAAGAAGACATTGGAACATGCAAGAAAGCAAAGTGGATCTAGGGGGAAGCGTTGTGTTAGGGGTATAAGATGCAGGGACTGGGGACTGGGCTGCTCCTCCCAGCCAGGCTGCTGGCCCCCTAACCCTCTGACGCTGGGCCTCAGCCCTGCCTCCTTCCTCACCTTCCTTCTAAGAATCCTGACTTTGGTTTTTATCTGTAATTCAGAAGGTGTTAAAGAAACTAGATTTAAATTATTCCCTCTGGAATCCTATGAACTTCATTCAATTTGCTAATTGTACCTGTGAAGTCTGTTAACGCTTAAGGAGGCATGACTTCCTGGTCTTTGTTGCAACAAGATTAGGGGACCTAGCTGGCACTGGTGGCTTACACCTGTAATCCCAGCTACTCAGGAGGTTGAGAGCTGAGGATCATGGTGCAAAGCCAGCCGGGGCTGGAAAGTCCATGAGAGTCTTATCTCCAATTAACCACCAGAAAACCAGAAGTGGTGCTGAGGCTCAAGTGGTAGAGCACTAGCTGAATAGCTGAGGGACAGCGCCCAGGACCAGAGTTCAAGCTCCATGACAAAAAATTAAAATTAAAAAAAAGATTAGGGTACCACAAAATGAAAGACTGAACAAACATAACATTCTTCATTAGTTTTGGAAATTTAAGCCCACACTGAGTTCCTTTTTAATCCTTGTCTTCTTCCTTGCTTGTTTTCTTTCCCCTTTGCTCTCCCATTCATCTACCTAGATCCTATGGGAAGATTATATAAATTGTGAACTGCCCCCTAAAACATTAACATATAATTCTTTAAGGGAATATATGAGGTTTGTCTCTGTACTGGTGGAACAGAACAAAAAAAGAAAGAACAAAATTTATATTTTGCAAATAAGGAAGGACAAAAAACATTTGGAAAAGTGCTTGAAAGCCAATTCCCTGAGACTTGCAATTTGACCCAGTTAATAAATTCCAGTTCACTAGTTTAATGTGTCAAGCCTGCAGAGGAAGAAAAAAGCATGTAGAAAGAAACCTAGTCCCTATGTAAGGGGCTCAAACTATTTTTTCAAGTGACAAAGAATAGATGCTTGAAAAAAAATGAAGGGTCTATATGGAATATTACAGAGCACACTGTAACACTATTTAGTACGGAACATACTATAAATGTACAAATGGAAGAGTGAGAGTTATGGGTAATCAAGGCAGATTATGTCTCCATAAAAAAAAAATGCACCCATGACACAGAGCAAATTAAGAAGAAAAAAAGAACCCCCATTAAACTAAAATGTAGTTAAATTCTCTCCCACATTCACCTTCAGTAGGAAGTAAGACGATCAACAACAAAACCAGCCGCTGGCAATATACTAGAAAAATAAATCACCAACATTTCTGGACACAGCCTAAGTTTTAGAGCCAGGTTCCTCTGATATGAGGCCTGCCACTGGCTGTGAAGTTCAGATGCCAAACCTATGAGGCTTCCATCCCCTAAGCCAAATAAAAGCTCTTTACACAACAGTTTGCAAAAGTCCTAAAGATAATAGTTCTTTATACGAGAAAGCTATTAAAAAAATTCATTTCACAACCCTCCAAATAGTTTGTCCTAAACGTTCTAACGAGCAGTTTAGGATGTCAACATGTTTTCCTTCCTATAAAAAAAAGATAAAA